CTTTATAACTAACTATGAATATTATTAAATGTAAGATCTCCACCCATAATTCTCAAATTTATGCTAGCATAATTGGGCAAGGCCTATTAGCAACGGTTGCTATGCTTCTGAGATCTAGATCAGAATTTGAATTTGGAATCTAAGAATTTGGGTGGTCTGTGCTACTTCGTCCCTTCCTTTCTCTCTGCTTAAAAATGGCACAGGCTCATTATGTTGCTCCAGGCGAATGCGTATCTACCTCTGCCTTGGGGAATGAAGCGGAATTTCACAACCAGCCCGTGGAAAAACAAATCCTTATTCTAGGAGAGATTGGAGTCGGTAAATCCTACCTGATCAATGCTTTGTTTGGTGCCACCATTGATGTCAAAGCTCAAGAATCCCGAGATGTTGTAGCCCAAAGTCATAAGCCAATTGTGAAGCATACAGCAGAGTTGAAGTACGAATTGCCAGAGGATTGCTTTGCGGCCTGCACCAAGTTCACTATCTACGATACAAGGGGCTTTGCTGACCCAACACATAAGGACAAAGCACTCTTTAAGAATTATACCAAAATGATAGATATTGACAAGTTGGATGCTGTCTACATTTGTCATCGAATCAGTGGAAGGTTCAACGACTCCTCTGTTCGTTTTGCTGAGCTTCTTGCCAAAGACTTTCTTAAAGACAACGAAGTGATTTGGAGCAAATGCATACTTGTGCTGACACAAGCTAATCTTTTTGACCTCGAGAAAGACGACGATGAAGATGAAATTAGTGATGATAACATGCATGCTGCTTTAAGGATGCTGGAGTCAATGAAGCAATGGAGCTTAGCATTTGATGAGGCTCTTGTTCAGCAAGGGGTTTCTAAAAAAATATACTTGCAGATACCAGTTTGCGTTGCAGGATCAAAGCGTAATGTCAAATTACCTGTGACAGATGATTGGATCAAGGAGTTGCATCACGTCACTTTGCAGAAATGCTACAACAAAACTAGAGAAATCAAAGCAATTAATCTTGAAAAAAGGGATTCCATTGGGCGTAGCATTATTGCTGGTGGTGCAATTGGTGCTGGTATAGCTGGAACACTTCTTCCTGTGCTTGGCCTACCTTTTGGACTAACCATTGGAGCACTTATAGGATGGAAGTATGGGGAAAAGAGTGCAGAAGAAAAGGCGACAAAGAAGATTCAAGAGTTAATTGAAAATTGAAATAAGTCTTGTCTGTATAATGACTTTATAATGTTTATAATAGCATAATGCTTTTCAACTTTTATTTAATTTTAATTTCATTGGGTATGAAAATGCCTAGCTCCTGGAAAAGAAAATTGAAATGGGACATTATGCCATTATGCCTTCTCTTACAAAAGGATATCGATGACGCTCAAGATGACGCTACAGCAGTACTGTTGATTTTCCAATGGAACCATAGATAGTGGCAGCTAGTGTTGTCAGTATTCGAGAAAAGACTAGAGAAAGACAAGGAAACATTGCTCTCCTATTGTAAAGCTTTCCACTTTGTATCTGGTAAGATTCACTGTTTTTGTGGCTCTTAAATTCCTGCACGCGTTCTTTCTCACAGTGAAATGTCATTGAAGCAGTATGCTAACTGAATCTTCCTCAATATCTCTGGAGTTTACAAGTGGAGAGAAGAAGTAAGGGAATCAGTAATGATCTGTTGCTTTGGCTTGTATTTTACCTCCCACTCACTCTTTTTATTCTCTTTTAAAGAATGGAATTCACTCTCCTTTATTCAACTGATTATCCAAGTAAGTCTTTATAATGTCATTAGTTTGATTTTGTGTGAACGAGTTACTTTTGGCCTCGCCAGCGATTAGCATGGGCGAGGACTATGTAGTTACATGTAAGTGTGTTGCCTGACATTCATTCATTGTGTCCACCACAATTCTCACTTCAAGGCTCTGTGGTTTTAAAAGGGGCTCTCCTACAGTCACAAAAATTGGTGTCCATTTTGTGATTGGTGCCCTTATGATATGTTGAAAGTTTGAGCTGATTCCAACTTAAATTTTTAAAGTTATGGCCATTATTAAAAATTGGCCAAAATCTGAAAAATACCCTGTAGTTTTGATTACTTATTAACTTAACTTTGTGAAAAGTATTTCCTATCCTATCTAACTTCCTTCTTGTTCTTTTCTTTTTATAATAAAATTATTTTAAGGGCTCAGTTTCCTTTTTATTGTGTACTTATACCCATGGTTTTTTTTAATGGCTCCGAAATCATCCCCCCCCCCCATTTTTATTACATTTTCTGATACATATTGATGTCCTTATGCTGTGTAGAAAGTTTGAAGTGATTCCAACTTAAATTTTTCAAGTTGTGGCCATTTTAAAAATTGGCCAAAAAATCTCCCGTGGTTTTTCCAAAAAATGGCTCCGAACTCACCCCCCCCCCATTTTTATTGTATTTTTTGATAGTGAACATGATAGATTGTTTTTATCATTTCTAGTGGTGAAGAGTTCGCTGAGTGTTGGCTGACAGTGTTGGGTTCTATTGCTAGTGATCCTGACAGTTGTCATAAAGTTGTATTTATTAGAGCTGGACTCCATGGCATGAATTCTCAAGTAATTACTCTATAAATAGTAACAGATATTATGATGTCATACTATGTGTTACTAATTTTAGTTTTATTAAGCTATTGCTGTTACTATTTTATGTTTTTATAGGTTGATGAAAGAATTTTTGATAAATTGTGGTCAGTAGAGCATTGATGCTGTCACTGCTAATAAGGAAGAAAACACTTATAAATATCTTCATGCACAAAAAGGTATTTTGATGGCTAAATTTGTGTGTACTGACACTGAAAGTGCTTTATGGGCACCTGTCCAAATAGATAGTACACTACTTACATAAGCATTGTTTATTATAGATTCCTTCCTTCTCTCTTTCTTTCTCTTCCTCCAGTTGCCTTTTGATGAATATGAGAGCATAATCAACAACACAGTCCTTGAGCTAATACTATACAATGGACACATAGGGACAATACTTAACACACCCATTTATCCAGAGCTATGCTCTTATCTAAGCAGCCCACCCATTAAAGAGAGAAATCAGCTACAAAGTGCCATTGATGTTTTTTTGCTTGCTCATTTAGTTCAGTGTAAAGAAGACGAATTGTTTGAAATTTTGTGTTTTCATTCTCCCAGTGGACATGTTGAGAGAGCTGTCCATCAGTTGGAAGATGAAGGATTCCATGATGATGCTAGTAAACTGCTTGAGATGGTGTCTCAGAGAGGAACAGGGTCTGGTGCATCATTAATGGGTGTTACCAGTGCTTTTAAGTCTTTAAAAGGATGATTTTTCAGTTAAAAAATATTTGTCAACATAAGTATACTTGTTACTAAAAGTAACAGCTCATTTCCGCTCCTTTTTAAAGTAATCTATTTTGAGTTGGTTCCAGGCAAGTATATTTTGCATTTTTGTACTGAGTATTGTAAGCACATATAAGCTTCATTGACGATTAATGATTGTGCAGTTAAATTGTGATGAATACAAACAGCAAAAAATCAAAATAAATTCCAGCTATGGAATAATTATTATTCTGATTTGTGCTGAATCATCATAAATTTTAGGCTGAGCCCCTTTTTAGATCTTTCTAGTTATTAATAATTTTGAAGAGAACAATGGCCCACTTTGCTAACACCTCTGCTAACACTGTTGCAGCTGACGAGTCAAAGGAAGAACTCAATCCTATTTCGTTTTCAACTGTTAATACCGGTAGCATACCTCAGGAGTTTGAAAGCGAGCCCGTAGAAAAACAAATCCTTATTCTAGGAGAGACCGGAGTGGGCAAATCCTACCTGATCAATGCTTTGTTTGGTGCCACCATTGATGTCAAAGCACAAGTGTCCCGAGATGTTATAGCCCAAAGTCACGAGCCAATTGTGAAGCATACAGCTGAGGTGATGTGTCAAATTGAAGAAAAGATAGCTTCCACTAAGTTCATTATCTATGATACAAGGGGCTTTGCTGATCCAACACACAAGGACAAAGCACTCTTTAAGAATTACTCCAAAGTGATAGATATTGATAAGTTAGATGCTGTCTACATTTGCCATCGAATCAGTGGAAGGTTCAACGACTCCTCTGTTCGTTTTGCTGAGCTTCTTGCCAAACACTTTCTTAAAGACAACGAAGTGATTTGGAGCAAATGCATACTTGTGCTGACACAAGCTAATCTTTTTGACCTCGAGAAAGACGACGATGAAGATGAAATTGGTGATAATAACATGCATGCTGCTTTAAGGATGCTGGAGTCAATGAAGCAGTGGAGCTTAGCGTTTGATGAGGCTCTCGTTCAATTGGTTCCTAAAAAGATTTACTTGCAGATACCAGTTTGTGTTGCAGGATCCAAGCGTAATGTCAAATTACCCGTGACAGATGACTGGATTGAGGAGTTGCTTCATGCCACTTTGCAAAAGTGCTACAACAAAGCCAGAGAAATCAAGGCGATCAATCGTAGTAAGAGGGATTCCATTGGACGTAGCATTATTGCTGGGGGTGCAATTGGTGCTGGAGTAGGTGCAACACTTCTTCCTGTGGTTGGCCTACCTTTTGGATTGACCATTGGAGCACTTATAGGATGGAAGTATGGGGAAAAGAGTGCAGAAGAAGAGGCGACAAAGAAGATTCAAGAGTTAATGAATAAAAACTAATATGACTACTCAGTGGACAATAACCTCATAATTATTTTTGTATGTACATGCACTATTAAGATTTCTACATTATATTTTAATAATTATTTATTATGAAACTTATAATCTTGCTAAAATTAAATTAAATAGGTTTTTTGCTGATTATTTTGTTGATAATTTGATCCTTTATCTGTTCGTTCTTTTCATTTTTGTTGTCCATTGTAACTAGTTTTGTCTCTTATGATAAGTTACTTGATTAGTATCTTCACTGTAAAAACAAAAAGTTAAAATAACCCCAGGTTGGTTACTTTCACCACTAAATTTAATAGTTATTGTAACCAATTTTTTGTTATCTTAACTAAGTTATTTTAACATCTTGTAAAGTTGTTTTAACTAATGTAAGTTGTAAAAATAACCAAATCATAAAGATTAATTTAACCTCGGCGGTATGGTTACGCACACTGAGCATGCGCAGAAGAGCAGTGCCTGTGGTCCGGAATCTCCGGATCCCTGGGCAGTTAGTTCATAGATACAGTATACAGGGATTGGAAACACTCGGATAATTAATGGTTGATGCGCGTTACGGGTTAATAATTTTATTCAAAATGGCCTCCCATGTTAAAATTACAAGCCCTGTTTATTTCATATATCTTGACGCTGCAGTATCACTGACACTTGATAACTATTCTATAATGTAAAAACTAATAGTTGGAATCAAATAAAAGTTGCATGCATAGCAAGTTTATCAAAAGTAATCAATAAACGGCAGTATTCTTCACTTGCAGAAACAGCCTTCCAAATATCCACAGGACAAAAATAGTCACTTCATTGTAGCTCATTACATTGGAGAGATTCCTAGGGAACAATACTAATGCCACAGATTTTCGTTATTAGTCATAGTGAAGTTGCCAGAGGGAGAAATTCCGCCGTAGGTCCAACTATTCTTAATGACAGTTGATGTCCTCAATAAAACACGGCTTAAGAGAAAATTAAGATTAAAAACACTCAGTACATTGGATAATAGTCACATCAATCTAGACATCTCATCATAACAGCTGTTGTGTCATCAATGTAGAAGCTAGAGGGAGAAAAGATCTCAAATCATACGAGAATGGATATATTGCAAAGAGTACCAGTTTATAGAATACCTTCGAAAGAGAGCTTTATGCAGCCAAAGTTTTCCTAGAATGGGGACCACTCAAAATCTTAAAAAGTCATTAGACAGATGACTTTCTCGAGACTTTTCTGAAGAATATCCCTGGATATCTATTTTTAACCCGTAACACGCCTAGGTTTTTTTTGACAATTTTTGTTGTCTCATTGAAATGTTAAGAAAAAGATCACGTGATACCAGGCCGTTTCCAATCCCTGTGTATACTGAACTAATGAACTGGGGTGTTGGTCTAGTACTTCTGCCACCAGCCATATTGAATTGAAATCAGAAATTTTTGACCATTAATTATGCCAGTATGCCTTGACCTATTTTGCTCATGCATCAACAGCTAGCCACATTATTAAGTTATCATAACGTTACCACGCCCTTCTATTACAATGGCTACTGAAACTCCCTCAGCAAGTACAGCAGCTATCTCTATCCCTGTGGCGGCTAGCGTAGTCGGATCTAGAGAGAAAAGACTCGAGAACGACAAGGAGACACTGTTTTCGTATTGTAAAGCTTGCCACTTTGTGTCTGGTAAGCTTCGCTGCTTTTTGTCTCAAATATAAACTGCACGATTCTTTCTCAGTGAAAAGTCATGGAAGCAGTACTCAAGCTGAGTCTTCCTCGATATCTCTGGAGTTTACAAGTGGAGAGAAGAAGTAAGGGTTTAGGGTTTACCTTGTATTTTACCTCCCACTCACTCTCTCTCTTGTTATCATTCATTCTCTTCTTTTTAAGAACTGAATTCACTCTCCTTTATTCAACTGATTATCCGAGTAGGTATTTATAGATGTTATTAATTTGATTTTTATGTGAACGAGTCATTGTTATTTTTGTGGGGCATAATATAATCAATGCATGGATAGATAATTAGATATCATACTATTTTTTGAGGACATAAGTCTATAGTTGTATGCATCTATAAAACTCCCTCTCTCTCTCTCTTCAGGTGGTACTGTAGTAACTAATTCGATTGATCCTGGAGCTGTCAAGAGCTACGATCAACCACTCTCAAATATATTTATTGATATTTGTAAAGGTCAGTATCTCACTACAGCTAGTTCACCCTGTCTCCTTTTGCTGTTTACACAGCAGCAATAAACAATGCAATCCGTATAGTTTTTGTGCCTGTTTTGTGCTTCTGTTGACACGGAAACGAATCAAAACGTGATAGAATCTTGATAAAACTCAAAAATGGTGTGAATTTTGCTTTGCTGTCCTTTATGTAGGGTAGTGTATAAAACTATTCTTATCTTGTATCAAAGCCCTTTCATTATTTCAATTGAGAATGTCTTTATTAACTGCATGCTTGTTGCATTATACATAATGTGTGTTTGTGTGTGGATGTTATTCAGTATGAAGAGATGGTGTCATTCTTCCCTTGTCCTTAATGTTAAAGATTACTTTCAACTTTCAACTTCAAATAAATATACATACATTGTTATTGTAGCTATAATCTTCTTATATGGAACCATCTCAAAACAGCATGAATAAGATAACTATTATTCATTGTTGTTATTATAAGTGTAAGTATATCTTACTAATGATATCTATTATTATTAATATTATTAGATATTTATGATATCTACTAAGCATGATCGTCATGCTTAGTGATGCAACATTTCTAAAAATAGTAACAAGTTGTTGATGAATAACTAAAGAAAATTGATGATCAAAACTAATGCCTAAAATAAGCATAAATATGAAAAACAATAAATAACATTAATAAAATATAAACAAACTGAAATAAAGTGTATTAAAAGTGATATATCTAAACAATAATAGCAAATAAATATTAACAAGTGTTGACTCAGAAAATAAAAAAAATGCTGGATTGCGTCAGTGGATTAGGAGGTGATCACCCGGGAATTGAACCCGGATATTCTTTGTGGAAGAAAGATAGCTTAACCATTGGCTTAATGATCGAAGTATCCACATGACATAGCCAGCTACTAATAGTGTTAAATTCTTGCCTTTATACCTTAAACAATGACTGCTACAATAACACATCATAGTAAATAGTAATAATAATACTAATAATGTAAATTGATACTACCATATTGATTGCATTCTATTACAAGTATGAATTTAATTATAAGTGCATAAACTTGAAGTAATCGTTCTATAATTTTCAGTGCCTTGTTTTTTTAAGTTATTGAATGGCATAATAAAATTTTATTTGTTACCAGCTAAAAGATAAAAAAATGCTGGATTGCGTCAGTGGACGAGTGGGTGATCACCCAGGAATTGAACCCGGATATTCTTTGCGACAAAAAGATAGCTTAACCATTGGCTTAATGATCGAAGTATCCACACGACATAGCCAGCACTAGTGATCATCAAATTCTTGCTTTTATAGGCTTAACCAAACACTACTACCGTACATAATGATTTATTGGCGAGGAATTAATATTGGCGATTGGCAGTTCTATGAAGAAAATCTGCCATTTTGTTTGAATCTGAGCATGCACAAAATCGCCAATATAAAATTTGCCAATTAACTTTCCACAGGCAAATTTGCCAAATATTACTCTTGCCAATAAATCAACTTGTACGGTATACATATACATGTATTAATAATAATAGCAATATAAACTTACATAATTAAATTAACTTCATTCTATTACAAGTATGAATTCAATTATAATTGTACACTATTAAATTTATATTTCTCTAATCTCCGGTGCTTTGTAAAGCCCATTAAATGTCATAATAAAATTTTCTTATTAAACAGCTAAAAGATAAAAAAAAGCTGGATTGCGTCAGTGGATAAGAGAATGATAACCCAGGGTTGAACCCGGATATATATTTTTTATGACACCATCGAAGTATCCACAGGACATAGCCAGCAACATCAACTGTCAAATTCTTGCTTTTATAGGCTTAACCAAACACTACTATACATGTACATGTATTGATAATAATACTAGCAATATAGAATTAGATATTTTGATATACAATGTACTATTGCATTATTGACTAAAAGTATGAATTTAATTATAATTGTACTTAATTAATGTAATATTTCTAATTTCCATTGCCTTGTAGAGTTATTGAATTGTATAATAAAATTTTATTTGTTACAAGCTAAAAGATAAAAAATGCTGGATTGCGTCAGTGGACAAGAGAGGTGATCACCCAGGAATTGAACCTGGATAGTCTTTGCCCAAAAAAGATAGCTTACCATTGGCTTAATGATCGAAGTATCCACACGACATAGCCAGCAACTAATGCTATGAAATTGTAGCTATTATACCTGTAGCTGACACCTACTCTAACATGAATTGATATTAATTAGACGTTGATAATGGATTCAGGTACTTCTCAGGGTGACACAGAATCTCTCCCTTTGGCAAAAGATCTTACCTTTTTGCTGTCACTTTTCCTCCATTTCATTAATTAAAATTTATTAGCTACACCCACTCAATCAATATGGAATCGTCTCTTTAATATTCCTAGATCTCTAATTTATAAAGTTGTGAATAACAAGGCTCTCTTTTTAGTTTTTACCTTTTCTTCCTGACTGTATCTTTTCATTTTTTCTACTTTTGTCTTCTTCTGTTTCATGTTCTCCTTTTCTTCCCTCTTTACCTATAAAGGATGCTTTTTCCACTGAGATGTTGCCAGCTATGTCAAGTGGATACTTCGTTCATTAGTCAAGTGGTTAAGACAATAGGCTCATAACCTTTCTCCCTGGGTTCAAATCCCAGATGAACTCCCTCCATCCACTGACGCAATCTGGCATTTTTACTTTTTACTCTAAATGATTACTTCAAATTTACGTTCTAATACATGTACGTTAATTTTGTGTGTATTACATTAAAATTAAGCTATTTGAAAATTTTACCGGTTGTATTTTGTACCATATACTACCATTTGATATCTATTAATGATATTCATGGTGCTTCATAGTACTTAAGGTATGCATGGAATTCATGTCATGTGTTATAATTTGTGTATCAGTTTACACACAGCACAAATGAAGTTAACAGTAATCATTATTATTATTTATTATTATTATTAATATTAGTTTTTCATTCTTGATGTCTTGGTTGGTTGGTGTATTGTGATGTTTATAAGGCACTTTTAGCTGCTCTTTGTTGCCAGCTATGTCAAGTGGGTACATCGTTCATTAGTCAATTGGTAGACAATAGGCCCTTAACTCCTAGTTATCCAGGTTCGATCCCTGGATGAACACCCTCGTCCCACTGACGCTGCCTGGCTTTTTTTACTTTTCAAAGTCACTAACATTTTGTGTTATTAGAATCACTTTTTAAGCTCATAGAGGTTTAGGTGTATAAAATGCTATTCTTTTTAAAAGTACATGTATGCTTGTATTACATTCATATTTGTGTTAATTAAATTCATACATTCTTTGGTTGTTTAATTCAATTAACATTCTTCACTGCTCTTCTCATCAAAAATGAAAAGTAGAGAATTCTTTATTTTTATTACATTTCGTGATACATATGTATGTTTTATTATGTTGTGTAGAAAGTTTGAACTTATTTCAATCAAAATTGGATTTTTACAAATTTTTAAAGTTGTTCAAAATTGGGCAAAAATCCCTGTACTATAGTACAGGGTTGCCAGCCAAATTTTGGCAAAATTGAAAACGAAAGAATTCTTCATTTTTATAATTTTTCTTAATACATATACATGTCCTTATTTTGCGTAGAAAGTTTGAGCTGATTCCGATCAAAATTGGATTTTTTACGAATTTTTAGAAGTTGCTTTAAATCAGGCCAAAGACCCTGTAGAGCTTTTTGCCAGCTTATGAAGCAAACTGTGACCTTATTGTGTGTACAATGTCTGTCTGTCTGTCCTTATCTTCTCTCTCTCTCTTTAGAATGGTGTAAAGATCATGAGATTCCGCTTCCTCCCGAATGTGCTACTACTAATTCATCTCTTCCTCCCTCTACCACTTTTACTCCACAACTATCAACACAAGTAATAATAACAATAATAATCATCATTAATACATGCCTTATATGGTTGTTATTGTTATCACAAGTGCTGTTACTTGATGTTATTGCTATCCAAAAACTTCTCTAGCAGCAAGGAAGGTCATACAGCACAACAGTAGCTTGCTTGGGGGCTGAGCCCTTTTTAATGTTTTATTATCATAATTACCGTATAGTGGGAAATTTTGGAGGGAATTAAATTTGGCGAATTGGCGTTTTGATAGCCATTTGCCAAAATAAAAATCCGCCATTTTGAGCCATTATGCAATGACACGCGGCCACAAATTTGCCTAATTAAAATCCGCCAATCACCAAAAGTTAGCAATTTGCAAAATTTTACTCCCTCCAAAATTTCCTGCTATACGGTATTATTAGTAATGTGGTAGTATTATTAAGTAGGATTCACCCCACTTTAAAATGGCTGCCACAATTTTTGCAGCCTTTTATTATTTATTAATTGTTATTGTTTTTTAATTATCAGATATCTATTGCCAGCTCAATAGCAAGCTCAGAGTTAACTGACTCTAGTGACGTTGATTATTTTGATGATGTAAGTCACTTTTATTAGTAACACAACCAATTCATTACTTACGTAAATGTACATGTGGAATGGCACTTAAGTATAAGTATTAATTAATTTCTCATTTTTAGGGTATGATGGATGATGATGATGAAGAAGATTTTGTAAATCCTCTTATACTAAAAGACATTGAACTAATTAAGGAGCTACACGGTGACAACTGCATCGAACACAAGTCAGTATAAACGTACATACATGTACATATACAGTATTTTATGTAAATTTACATAATTTAATCTACATATTCTATAATTTTTGCTGATAACCTCTATCCGGATATTCACGAAATTAATTTTTGCAAACTTTCGCTATTCTGCCATCTTTTACTGTATTAAGAAATTAATTTCACGAATTTTAAAAAATCTACGAAATTCACGAAATTTGTTATCCTCAAAAAACCCACTATTTATGGTACTTTTCTTTGCCTTCCTCTCCCTCTCTTCCTCCCTCTCAGATTGCATGCTGGAATCAATGAGATGGACATTCTCCTCTACATTGATATGGGATTCCTTGATGGGCACACTGCCTCAGCCTGGGGCGTGGACTCCAGCATACCAATCGTCCTTCATTTTCACTTTCAATCTGCCAGTGAATATTTGGATGGGCCAGAGCCAAAGATTGAAGTGTATCAGAGCTCAATATCGAGCAAAGAGAAGAGAAAGTTTGGATTAGGAACACAAATACAAAAGTAAAGAGATATACATGTGCATGTAAGATTGTCTTCCATTTAGTAGTATGATTTCAAAGATAATTTTTTTGCACAAAATAACTGTTCAACAGTATAGCTAGCTAGCAAAATCATTGTATGCAGAAAGTTTAAGCTCACCATGTCAAAAATGGCTTTGTAAATTTTTATTATATTTTCTTTTTTCCTGATATTATAACTATTAAATAATTACAAGAATGTAACTATAACTACATGTATATATTGACACCATCATCATTACTTTAATAATGACAGATAAATTTCATTGTCTATAGACTTGTTGAGACATTCATTTCCACTAATTGGAAAAGCACTTCAAACTATCACCTGAAACAAGAATGTGAGTTGCGTCCATTTTAATTAAAATCATTAATTGTGAAACATTTTTAAATCATTAATTTTTTCTTTAATAGATGAAAAAGTTTCTTCCACCGATCAATCGAAAGTCACACCTACAAACACGCCCCCTTCAAGCATACCGGATGAATCAAGCAACTCTCATAAACTATTATTAATGGGGTTCTCCCCATCATCAGTGAGACAAGCTCTTGTAATGTGTGGGGAGAAGATAGAGAGAGCCATTCACCTACTGACCACTGGAGAACTGATTGATGAAGAGGAGGAGGGGAAGGGACTGGAGGAAGAAGTGGTCAAGGAAAAGGAAGAGAAGCCAGTGTAAGTATATGGTTATTATTTAATTATGATTTGTGGTTTTTTGTTTTTATAGTTCTTTTAGGAGACAGGATTCACAAGGAGCTAGAGCTACTGTGTCACTCCATCACAGTATTGAGGTATGGCATCTATAAAGTGCCCTGCTATACAATATATAATAGCCTCAGAATAAATTGCCCATTAAAACTTACATGTAATGCATCATATGGAATGAAACTGCACTAGTGTTTGTGTGTGTGCATTATTGAAATACTAATAATTGACATACAGACAAGTATATTAATCAAGACTAGGTAGAAAGAAAATCACAGACGGTTTTAACTTCTTTGCCAGTCACACGATAGCGAGCTTTTGCTTGTATCTCTGTACCACTGAAATCTATTGTGACATCAACTATACGCTGGTCTAAAGGCAAGTTGTCTGGATTAGGAACGTCAATGACAAGTTGACCAATTTCTGTAACAATTAGTTTATTATTCTCATCTCTGATATACCTAACCCCAAGTTGAGGTGTTGAATAAATCTTGATACTCGCTGTAGTATTATCTTGACATCTTGGAGTGAAGTATGTAGTGATAACCTCATTAGCTTTAGCTAATTCTCCTTCCTCAAGAAATATGTTGAAAATGTAATTGCAATAGTATCCTTTATAGTCTTCAATGTAACACTTATAAGCTTCATTGTGCTTTTCAGGATCAAATGGAAATGACAGTCCTATCCCATAAGTAGCATCGGCTCGTCTTGCTTTGAATTTCTCAGGATTCTTACGCCACATAGCAGCTCCAGTAGCAACAGCTAAATGAGGAGAAGGAGGTACTAACACAGAGCATGTGCCTTTATGACCTTTAGACTGATAGTACCTTTTTATAGCAGGACTGACCTTTTCATGAACATACTTGCATCCTCCAAAAGCACCAACCAAGTAAAATGTGTTGGGGCAGTTGTCAATTTTACTAATAGCTGCCAGTGTGCAATCAATAATACCTTGGATAGCAGGACCAAACAGCTTAGACTCTGTGACACTTTTATTTATACGAAGTGTGTCATTTTCGTCTGGATCATAGTCTGTACCACTCATTTTTTCTGCTCCTTCGATAAGAGCTTCCTCATAAAACCGTACAAAGTTTCTTGGAAGTTCTACTGCAATCTCTTCCAATTTTCCTTGGCCAAAAAGCACCTTTTGTTTTTCAAATTCAGTGTATACAATTTTATTTAGTGTAGCTTGATTTTTGGTGTGATCTCCTGAAGCAATGAATTTTTCGAAGCCGGGATCATTAACAAGTTCTTGAAGCAATTTAGAAAACCCTTCATTGACCTGTGTACCACCCCATGCATTGCCAGTAGGTACATTCTGGACTACAATACCTCCATCTACTTCAACGTGAGCAGTGATATCTATTGTACCTCCTCCAGCATCAATCACCATATACTCTGTAGGATGACTGATAGCTGCTGCTGATGGCTGACCTTTGATCTGCTCTGCTACTGTTTCCTGGCTATAAAGAGCTGCTGCCTCAGGCTCTAATGCTAGTGATAGCTTGTCAGGATTAACTTCATCTGGTACTGGTAAAGGACTGCTTGATATAGGAGTGAACTCACTGATCCTTTTAGACTCTGTTAGGAGACCAGCCTATAAAAATAATAATAATGTAAAAATTCGAATTTTCATTACTGACCATATAAGCAGCTTCTCTCATCATTCTTTTTCCTCGTGCATCCCATATAGCAGGTACAGTAATGACCCAATCAAAATCTGCTGTCTTCAATGGCCTGACACCACGGGAATGATGGTCTATCAACTGGTCCTTCAAGTACTGCAGTATGAAGGCAATGACTTCAATCAGATAAAACTTCTCACCAGAAAATGACCCAATTAGTGTCTGTCTGTCAACTGTATTCTATAAGGCAATATTCCATATCATGCATGTATCAATTGCAACTCACTTTTTCTCTTTTTAGTAACATTTTTATTCTTTCAAAATAGATATTCTCTTGATCATAGTTCCCAGATTTCCTTGCTGTTGTAAACTGAGATCTAGCTGTATTCCCAAAAGCTACCACTGATATTGCTTTTCCTTCTCTCTTGAACAGGACAGCATTGGTATCCCTTGCAGCTTTCTCTTGAGCATCAAGAATGAGAGTATTGACCTTCTCATCACCTTTGGTAGTGTAGGCTAGTGAAACTGATGTAGTACCAAAGTCAATAGCAGCAATGTTTCCTTCAGTAATTCGATAATTAGCATCAGCACGAGGAACCTTTCTAGCTCTATGAAGTGGAGGCTTGTAGTCTTGTGGACGCAGCTGCTTTTGAACTAATGGAAAGATTTGAGAACCAAAAGCAAGGACTTCATCAGCAGCTAATGCCATTTTAGATTTAACTCCACTCTTGACAGTCTCTGTATGCGTAGATATAATAGTTTGTTAACAATGACCCTTTGTCCTTTGAATAGTTATGATTAGTTTACATATAGTGCAATTCCTGGAATACAGTTCTTGGGATTGTATGGTTTGTATAGTGCAGTTCCTGGAATTGTGGAACATTATTTAATTAGTTCTATACCACAGCAGTTCTTGGAATTGTTATCATTACAAAGGTTATGCATGTAACATATGACTAGTATAGGCATCAATATATTTTCATTTATCCTTTTGAAAATTATTTAATGTCTATGTGGTGTACTATTGTAATAACACATCTTCTTTTAATCATTATAGGATGTTAAAATACGGCCAAGTCTTGAAAATGGATTCCTTTGTCAGGTAAAATTAACCGCTAAATACCCTATAATATAGCTTTTATGCTTTTTGCATTATCAATGTTAACTTGTGGTATATATATTCCTTTAGATAATGAAGTACACATTGAACAGGATCCCATCATTGAATGAGTTTTGTGTTATCTGTGATGAGAGACACGTACTGGAGACAGGACTACTAAGAGTAATCATATAATGAATAATGACACACATGCATTATTTATTGAACTGTATTCCATTCTACTATATTTTTTCTTTTTTCTCTTTCCTTTCTTTCTTTATTCTCTATAGCCGTGTGTATGTACAAGAGAGTTGTGTGTCTTTGCTTTCCAAACACTAGGAGTAATGGCTGATGCTGCTGAATCTGTAGCAACTGATGCCAGTGTAAGAACTAACATACAATAACACATTAACTAACACTATTCACCATATGTACATATACACTATGAAAATGAGTTATTCAACATGCAAAAACACTATAATTCTGTGTATCAGATAAGTGTACCTGTACATTTATATTATTACTTTTTTAGGTTGTTGACCTGTTGATTGCAATGTGTAATGCTGCTACCAACAGCAGTAGAGCCTCACTCATTCTCGATCCATTCCCATCTATTGTTGATCCATCCAATCCACACAGA